GGCAGCCTTTCCCCTGAGGTTCCAAATCAGGTGACCATGCACCTCCCCACCTACCGCATCTGCACTCACTGTGGCCTGCGTTCCTGACCAGTGTGCTACTTCAGACGCTGTTGACCTGGTGTTGGGGCGATAACAGAGGATCCACTGACCTGAGGCAGACAAAGCCACTTGGGGACCTCCTTCCCCTGGAGTCCTCGGTGCTGGAGGAGCTGAGAGTCTTCAGAGGGTGGAGGGCCTGCCCTTCCTGCCCCCGAGTCTGTGGCAGCTTGCATGCTTGTAGAGTCTAGAGTCTCCCTCGTCTCTCCAGGGGCCACTTCCTCCCCTTTCTCACTGCTGGTATTGACATTGGACTGCGGGGTGGTGCGGTGTTGGTCTGCAGCCTACCTGCCTGTGATTGGCTTGCAGACCTGCCCTGGGTGCTGATGGGCGCTGTGTCCCAATGGGGGGTGCCATATGCTCACTTTGTACTTCACTTTCATTAATTTTTCCCAGCATGAAAACTAATCATACCTGCCTTGTGGGGCTATAAGAATAGAGCAGCAGGTATCCCTGCAAGTGTCGAGCACGGTGCCTGGCACGTAGCTGGCACTCAGCAGATGAGCGTGAGCTGCTGGGGAAGCCCTGGGAGGTTCGTGTGTGCCTCTGGGCCTGAGCTGCTGAGCCAGCAGGCCCTGTGCTCACAGCCCACACATGGATGTGCTGTTTGTGGAGTCGGAGTCTGGGGGTGGCTTCGGAAGTTATCAAAATTACAGGAAATACCATGTAAGAGCCTGAGGCTCTTTCCTGAGGTCATAAATACCGTGGTTGAAAACTGGGTTCCGAAGCCAGGGTGTGAGTGAGCGCCCCAGCCCCCCTGCCTGCAGGTTAGGAGGCCCCAGGCAGGTCACCTGACCTGTGTCCAGCTTCTTGTCTCCAATGTGGAAGCGTGGAAGCGGCAGTAGCACTTCACCAGCTTCTCAGTCGGTGCCTGGGCTCTCACATCTGCCTGGTGCACTGTCATAGTAACATGGGCTGCTTCGGCCCTGCTGGGGCCAGTTTCACCCCTGCTGTTCTTGCCAGCCACAGCCTCAGTTCTCCATTGTTGTAACCCCTGGCAAGGCATGCTGGGTGCTCCGACACAGTCATGAGCTTTCCAAGTGCCAAGTCCTCACCCCTGCCTGCAACCTTACTGCTGCCCTACTCCCTTTAAGGACTTTATCTCCTGGGGACCCATCTGGCTCTTGGTCATGACAGCAATGCTGTCAGTCATCTTGATGGAGGTGTGACCTTAAGGAGTGTTGAGCGCAGTGGCCCTTGACATGTGGTTCACATCTGTGGCATTACTGTCACTCAGGAGCTTATGCCAGGCCCTCCCCAGCCCACTGAATCAGCTATTCTGGGTGGGTTTAGCAATCTGTTTTCAGATCCCTCCAGCTGACTCTGGTACTCACAGGTCATGAGTGTATGTGACACACGTGTCCCATGTTCCCGTTATCCCCATTTGATCCATGTAGAATCCAAAATATTGAGGTATGTTCCTTGGCACTTCACAAGATTTGTCAATTTTACACTTAGTAGGACTCTTATCTAAACAAGGTTTCCTTAGCTGTAGTGTTTTTCTTTTTTTAGTTATAGTTGGACACAATAGCTTTATTTTGTTTATTTATTTTTATGTGGTGCTGAGGATCGAACCCAGTATCTCACGTGTGCTAGGTGAGCGCTCTACTGCTGGGCCCCAGCCCCAGCCCCAGCCATAGTGTTTTAATCAGCTTTTACTCCACTGTAACTAAAGGACCCGACCAGAACAACTTTAGAGGAAGAAGAGTTTATTTGGGAGCTCACAGTTTCAGAGGTCTCTGTAGACAGTGGGCTCCATTCCTGGGGGCTCACAGTGAGGCATAACATGGTGGTGGAAGAGTGTGGCCGACGGAAGCAGCTCACATGATGATCAGGAAGCAGAGAGACTTGGTTGCCAGATACAAAAAGTACCCCAAAGGCACGCTGCCAGTGCCCCCTCCTCCAGCCACACCCCACCTACCTCCAGCCATACCCCACCTGCTCCCAGCCATACCCCACCTGCCTCCAGTCACTACCCGGCGAAGCCCATCAGGGGTTAGCACACTGATGGAGTCACTGCCTCCAGTCACCACCCCGTGAAGCCCATCAAGGGTCAGCACACTAATCGGGTCCAGGCTTTTACAACCCAGTCATTTTCCCCCTGGACTTCGTGTATTTTTCTCAAGTGTGAGTCTCTGGGAACACCTCACAGCTAACAGCCCACCAGGCCTGGGCCGCTATGCCCTGCGGGTTCTGATAAGTTCACCTAGAGTGTGCTGCAGGAATCCCCCTTCAGAAGGATGTGCCTTGTCGTCCCCAAGGTGGCTCTCACTGCTACTCTCCTTCCCCTTCCCTTCCACAGGGCACTCCCTTGTGGCCGCAGGGCATCCCTCCCCTCCTGGGGATTGGAGGACATCTCAGCTCCTGACAAAGGCCCTCCCTGTGCCCGACCCGCAGGTGGCAGAGCTCAGCTGCCTTGGCTTCACCTTCTCCTCTGTCATTGGTGGCTATGCGTCATCAGCCTGCTCTGTAGGTGTCTGGAGCTTAGGACTTGGGGTGGCTGGTTTGGGAAGTTCTTCGTTTTGTGACTGTCACTTTGGGATGGCTCTGATATGCTCCTTCTTGACGAACATTCTACTGTACAGATCAGGCCCTCTCCTTCTAATGGTAAAATCATCATAATGGATGGAGGATTTGTGTTTATGGAAGGCAGATTTGCTATTGAAATTCTATTGGGAAAGATTTTTCAAAGAAGTCATATATACTAGCTGTACCCACTTCCAGGGGAGATTGAAAGTGCCATTAGTTGTGAGAAACATAGGGGAGAGCACAGGCACAGAGAATGGATCAGCATGGCTTAGATGTCCTTCGTGATATCAGTCCCTGCAGAGGTGGTGGGGCTCCCATGGAGATGAGGATTCATTGTATTGGAGACAATGAGGACCAGGCTTCAAAAGTACTTTCTAAAGTGGTTTTGAAGATTGTTTATCGTATTCATGCAGATTTCACTTCATCAGTTCCAAGAGGGAATCACTAAAGCTTTTGTCAATAGCTTTAAAACTGAAATGTTGCTCAATCAGCTATACCGGCACCAATGAGTAACCCTGCTTCACTCACCATGGATTGCTAATGAACCCAGGCACTAGAGTGCTAGCCTGTGTGTGTGTGAGCCCTAGGAGAGCAGCCCAGGGCACCAGCATCCCTGGGCCTGCGTGTGTGTGAGCCCTAGGAGAGCAGCCCAGGGCACCAGCATCCCTGGGCCTGCGTGTGTGTGAGCCCTAGGAGAGTAGCCCAGGCACCAGCATCCCGGGGCTGGGTGTGTGAGAGCCCAGGGCACCAGCACCTCTGGGCCTGTGTGTGTGTGTGAGAGAGAGACCTAGGAGAGTATCCTGGGCACTAGCACCCCTGGGCCTGTGAGTGTGTGTGAGCCCTAGGAGAGCAGCCCAGGGCACCAGCACCCCTGGGCCCTTGTGTTGAGCCCTAGGAGAGCAATGAGAGGTTGGCACCTTCTTTTCAAGAATTTATTCCATCTTTTGATAAAACATCAATGAGAACTGACTTCCCTTTTGCTCCTCTAGGACATAACAATGAGACTCATTTGATTTGTTTTATCAAGCACTTATTAATTGTATGATGAGACAGTCTCTGCCCTCAAAAATATGTGCAGGTTTTTCAGAGCACCGATACATATCTGGGTGCAATTGCCAGGCAGAGTGCCCAGCACAGTGATGGAGCTGAGCTAGTGCACAGAGGTAGGCCGCCGTCTGGGCTGCGCTGCTGTGGGAGCTGGCCTGTGAGATGCCAGGCAGTGAGTGATGGCCCCTTGGGGTTTTGCAGGTGGATGAGACTTCCCTAGGTGAGTCACAGGAGACTCACATGTGCACAGGGCCAGAAGTGTGGCCCCTGACAAGCTGACAGTTACAGTATATAGAGGACAGTGAAGGTCAGGGGTGGGAGCAGATGCTTCCAGAAGGCAGGCAGGCTAGGGCCTTTGGCCATGGAAGGAGGCCGCTGGGCTTCACCTGGCTGTACTCCTGTTGGAGTCAGTGGCCCATCTACATAGGACAGCTCCTCCTCTGTGTGTTTTCTTTTAGGAGATACAAATTAGCATCCACAATTCCAGAAAGCACATTTTACTTTTTTTTTTTGACCCACAAAGGAATCCAAGAAAAACTGTGGAGGGAGATAAGGATAAGTAGCCTTGGCCACGTCCCCCGCGCGAATGTCACTGACTGTGGGTCAGCAACCACATCACTTACCTGGACCAAGAACAGCATGGCCCACTTCAAACCTGTCTTTCAGGAACCCTAACTATCACACAGTCAGGACCCGCAGTTCGTTAGTATGGGAGACCTGTGGGAGGGGAGGACCCTAACATGCCCCCCACAGTGGGAGAGCCCGGTGGTGGGGCAGTGGAGTTGACACGGGGCCAGGAGTGCTTTGCTGAGCTCCCAGCTTCCCGGTGGCAGAGCCATGTGTAACTGGGTGTCAGCTGGGTGGGGTACTCATGTCATGGCTCTGTGCTGTGCTGTGGGACGCAGAGCAATCTCTTTGTAACTGCAGGGAGAAAATCCTTCCTGCAGGATCTCAGTCAACCCACGGGGACCCTCAGACCCCTTGTGTCCAGCATCCCTTTCACTTCTGGCTCAGCTCCCACCTGTGGCCTTTGCAAGTTAGTTTCCTGCTTCCCTCAGTGGTAATTGATCTGGGGGCTATGAAGCCACACGGCTGTTTGGATCATGTGTGTGAGTGAATGTGAGGTGGTGTTTGGAGGGGAGGCTTTTAGGGGTCTGCATTTCCCTCATCTTATCCCAAGTACTCAGGGGATGTCCTTGGGAAGGTGGCCTCGAGTGGCCCTTTGCTTTCCCTTGCATCCTCTTGTTGTGGCTTTATGAATAGGTTCACGTGGTGTTAAACTTCACAAGATCGTTTTTGTACACCTGGGGTGATCATGCAAGGAAGCATTTGTACCCATCTCTTTTTCTTTATTGCTTAAATTTGGTCTCTACACAGATGGTTTCTGAAGCCTTGTGGCCATGTGGCCGCGAGCTCAGTGGCAGCGGTCAGCCCAGGGTTATGTGGTCTGTCTGGCTGCTCTGTTGCTCCTGGTGTGAGGCCCTCCTGCACCTCATGCAAGGCAGCCTTTCTGTGAATCTTTTACATAAGAATATGTATATTAAGGGATCCATGCAAATGTTAGTTGCTGCCAAAAAGAGAGTCGTTTCTTTGGCAATGAACAGCCGGTTCTCCAGCGCACAGTCCTTCTTGCTGCTGGTTTGGCTGTGAGTGTAGGGGATGCGGGTGAAGTGAAACGGGGCAAAGCACAGGAAGAAGACAGCCAAGACCACGAACACCTTCCCCCCCAGCCTCTTCTTGCTTTTGCCATCCTTACTTTTGACCTTTTTATAAGAATCATAGACTTTTTTGGCAATCACCGTATAAAACAGAAGCATTAGGACAAACACAGTCCAGAAAATGCCCTGGGATACGTAGTTCACCAGCCGATGCCACCACAGCCCCAGAGGCCCCTTCAGGGACGCACACTTTTTCACAGACACTGGAGTTGCTTCCTTGTCATTCAGGATCATATTCGGCAGGGACATGGAGAAGAGAAGGAGCCAGACGAAGACTGTGACCGTTTTTGCAAAAGCAGGTTTTTTCACGAATGATTTCTCGAAAGGTCTGACAATCTTGAGGAACCTGTCAAAGGCTATGAGGCCCAGCAGCGTGATGCCCACATACATGGCCTCGTAGAAGACCACGGAGGAGAAGCGGCACACGAATGCTCTGAGCTGCCAGGGCCCGAGGTGCGCGTCAGAGAGGATTTTGAAAGGAAGCGTGAGTGTCATTATCAGGTCAGCCACCAAAGTGTTCTTGAGGTAGATGACGAAGGTGGAGGAGCTGGGGATTCGCAGGAACGCCCACAGGGCCAGTGCGTTGAGCAGGGCACCCGCCAGGAAGACCCCCGTGTAGAGGGTGGGGAACACCAGCTGGGTGATCCGAGTGTCCCGGGGGCATCGCTCGGAGCCATTGAAGCCCTGCATCCCCGTGGCGTTGGCCGGCTCCAGCATGGACTGCACACAGACAAAGCAAACAAAGGCCATTCAGGACACTGTTAAAAAACAGACTTCAGCTGAGTGCTGGCTCACGCCTGTAATCCCAGCAGCTCAGGAAGCTGAGGCACGAGGATCATGAGTTCAAAGCCAGCCTCAGCAACTTAATGAGACCATAAGCAACTCAGTGAGATCCTGTCTCACTATAAAATAAACTATAAAATAAATATAAACTATAAAATAGGGCTGGGGAGGTGGCTCAGTGGTCGAGAGTCCTGAGTTCAATCCCTGGTACCAAAAAAACAAAACAAGCAAACAAAAAAACAACCCCACACTTCAGCTGGGGAACCTGTTAGTGCCCTGTGTTCCTTCCCCACCTTGCACACATCTGTGGAGAGGGTGCTGATTGTTTCTGGCTTGAATTTTTAAGGCACATAATACAGTGTTCGTACTTTAACAGTACCATTACTTCCCCTCCTCCTTGTGAATCCAAGTGACAGGTTCTACCTGATTCGTAAGTGCCACTGTGAACATGGCAGTGAAACTTGGACGGCAGTAACACCTGGGTTAGCCAAGCTGTCCTGGGCTCACCGAGCAGCGGCCCTCCCTCTGCACACCGTGCCTTCCATAGCAGGCACAGTCATAACAAGCATTGAAACTCACCTTGCTCTGGGCGGGTGCTCAGCTCCGTGTCCTCCGACTGCGGCGGGCATTGGCTCAGCCACCAATGCTGGGAAGCAGCCTTCTGCTTTCTTACGCCGGCTTCCTTCCCCATTTCCACTTCACACTCACTTCTGTCATGAGGTCTGGTGTAACCTCTCGCGTTCGCCCTGTGCTTTGCTGATACTCCCTGTCACTTGAGAGGTCTTGGGCGCTCACCACTGGGACTTGCTGCGGTAGCTTCAGTTGCAGTTCCCTGAATGTTTTCTGCCCGTCACTCTGCTCAGGCCTGTTGTCTGTGGATATGCCCCAAGAACTTCGACTCCTGTGTGATAAGTAGGTAGAAAGACCAGGAAGGTATCCTGAGGTACCCCCCCCAGTAGGAGACGAGTCGTGACGCTAACATCTGGCAGAACCATCTTCTGCATCCTCATGGACAGGGTTTCCAGAGATGTGTTCAGGAGGACGGCCTGTGTGTGTCTGCAGGCATTTACCTCCATATGTTTGTTGGTCCCAGGGTCCCTGAGAAAGAACAGAGTTCCTAAGAGGTGGGGACTCATAGTGCAGACTTTTGGGGATGAGAATCCGCTACCTACCAGTTGTGTGGTTTTAAATCACAGACACGTGATTTGACAGCTCTCCATGTGTGCAAGGAGTTTGAAAATGGTCTGTACCCAGAGTTGCTGAGAGGGTGAACTGAGGGCCTAGTGCCAGGCAGGCACCTGGAGAGCCCCCGAGACACAGTCTCCCCGCCACAGTCCGGCCTGGCAGGCTGGAGTGGACGCGCACTCCCCTCACGGCCACAAGGGAGATCTCTTCCTATGAACGATGGCGGGAGCCGTGGGGGGCCTCATGAACCAGCCTTGGGCCCCGTCTGTAAGTTGTTCCCTGGCCTCTGTTGAAGCGTGAAGAGGAGAGGGCAGTTGTCCAGGGCAGTGTGCTTTGCCAGACCTGTGAGAGCAAAGCGGAAGTTGGGGCTTCTGGGGATGTGGGGTTCTTCACAGAGAGTTTCATTTCATATTTCTTGCCACAGGTTTTGCCTAGACTAGACTGTACCTTTGGTCTGATCAGAAAATTTTGGATGACTTGTCTTGGGATTCTGAGAATAAGAGTTTCATATCCCTTGAACATTTACAGCTATGTGCAGTACAGTGTCTGTTGGCTCTGGTTGGCCCTACCTAGTGGATGGCATAGTTTGAAAAAGTTCTCTATGTGACTCGAACTTATTGATCTCTTGCAAAGGAGACTCAAGATTTCACCGGTATGGTGGAACATAGTAAATATGTCTGGGATTGAACCCAGGGGTGCTTGACCACAGAACCACATCCCCAGCCCTTTTTATTTTTTATGTTCAGACAGGGTCTTGATGAGTTGCTTGGAGCCTAGCTACGTTGCTGAGGGTGGCTTTGAACTCATGATCCTCCTGCTTCAGCCTCCTGAGCTGTTGGGATTACAGGCAAGCGCCCCTGCACCCAGCTAAACATGTGTCTTTTTCTTTGCTTCAGTGTGGGACAAAAACTTTTAATTTTTATGTACAAGACTTTAATCTACATAATTAATTGCAAATTTCCCTACAGCCCCAAATCCGTTATGTTGATGAAAGTTTGAAGTAGTTTCACTTTAAACAAGGGAAATTCTGTACCAGATAATTTCATCATGCGAAAACTGGAAATCACATTTTGGCCAGGTTTCAAAATGTCAAAGTGTGAGAAACTTGCAAAAGCGGAATGGATGACTAACGGTGGTGTCTTCTTGGCAGTCATGGAAGCACATTCCTTTAAATGTGAGAGTTTCAAAGTGTGCACTTTAGTGAGAGAGTTGGGGTCCTCCTGGGCTCCCTGCTTGAGGAGGGCTTTGCTCTTGAGGGATATGGGAAGTGCTAGGTACAGCAGCTAGGGACACTCCTTGGGCCATGGAGTCTGGGCTCAACTGCTCTACAGGTCTTAGAACTCTTGTGACCTTGGGCAGCTTTTTACTCTCCCTGTGAACCAGTTGCCTTCTCTTTAGAGTGGACATAAAAAACAATGTCTGCTTTATGGAGTCATTCAGAGAACATTTATCATGGGCTTAGAAAAATGCCTATCATATGGTAGGAGTCCTGTAAATTTTTTTTAATTAAATCAAGTTGGAATAAATACCTGTACACCTATGGGGATAATCACAAAAGATGGGAGGAGTCAAAGAAGATACAGCGAGAGCATCCAGAAACTAGGAGCCTGCCAACAGGCTCTAGGGGAGTGTAGTCAATGTCCATAACAGCACAAAAGCTGGGCTGTGGCATTGATGACATCATATCATTCAGTCCTCTGAACAGTCCCCAGAGACTAGGTCCCCCTTGGAGGTGAGAAATTGGAGACCAGAAGGTAAGTGGTTTTCCCAGTGCCATGCTGCTACATCCCCCTGCCAGCGGATCTGGTCCCTGTGAGCCCTGGGCACCTGCTTGGCTCAAAGCCCTGTGACGGTGGGGGTGGGGGTGTCAGAGAGGATATTGGGAGAGGCCACAGAAACCAGCCTGCCCAACGGAATCAACTGCTGTCTCCATTCCCCGTCTTACTGTGGCACCTGCAGTTGGATCCACGGGGCAGTGGAAGGGTTCCTGTGGATGTGGCTAGCTGGTGCCACATAAATGGCATCTGCCACTATGGGAAGTCTTTGCTTTCACTCTGGATGAAAGTTGAAGTGAGATCTTTATTCCTAAAAGAGACGTTTAATTCCCATCAAAGTGCACCACTGTACCAGGTGCTTCCTCAGATCATGTGGAATCGTCGTAAAAATTCCATACGAGACTAACGAAAGTGACAGCAAGCGAAAATAAGTTTCACACTGTAACAGTCAATATGACGACCTATCTTTATAAGTTAATACCAAAAATTACTGCATGGAACCAGAAACAGGCAAAAAAAATTGCAAAATTATTTGAAATGTTCAGTATTTATTTTGAAATTCTTTGTTGTGAAAGGTGTGTTAAGTATCCATTGTTGTGACAAAATTTTTGAGAAAATTAAGTTGAAGGAAAAGATTTGTTCTGGTTCAGACTGTGTTGGGCTCTTCACCGTAGGTTCTTGACAAGGCAGAACATGGTGGGGAACATGTGGTGGAGCAAGCTCCTGTCTCCTGGTGGCTGGGAGGGGGGACCAGGGAGTGGAAGGGCCTGGGGACACATGCCCTCCACAGGCATGCATCCCCCACCTCTTCCACCAAGCCCCCTTCCCCGAGAGTTACCACTGTCTCCCAGTAGTCCCACAGCTGGGAAGAAGCCTTGGGAGACATTAGACACAAACTACAACCAAAGGAAAGCATGTGTTTGAAAATTCAAATGCACATGGATATGTAGCAGAAGGTGAAATTTAATCCCCCTTACATACATATATATATATCACATACAACAATGTATATGTGCACAGAAATATATATACAAACATGTATATTTACATACATATACACAGTTATTTACACAGTGGGTTTTGTTTCATTTCATATTTAGACTGATTAGTGCATTTAGACTGATCTGTTTTTTTACAGAATGAACACATTTATAATAATTTAATAATGAATATATAAATCTACCATAGCTTAGTTAAGCTGCCACTGGTTGGAACTTAGTTTGTTTCCAGTTTTTGTTATTTAAAACAATGCTGTAAGCTAGGCACAGTGGCATACACCAGTGCCAGCCGCTTGGGAGGCCGCAGCAGGAGGATGGCAAGTTCAAGGCCAGTGTGGGCAACTTAGTGAAACCCTGTGTCCATTTAAGGACTGCAGATGTAACTCTGTGGTAGAGCACTGGCCTAGCATGTGTGGAGGTCCTGGGTTCTATCACCAGTACCACCAAAACCATCTTTATGTATTCTTGTGTATTTGTTCTAACATATTTGCAAGAAATGTCTAGAAGTAGGATTGCTGAATCAAACGTCTTGTTTCAGAATATTGAATGTTCTCTTCCAATGGTTGTCCCATCAAGGGTGGGATTCTTCAACACTGCCATTAAAAATATTTTTAAATCAGTTAGAAACTTATGGGTGAAAAAAAACCTATGCCATAAATATAAATTTATATTGTAATTGGTGGGGTGGATATGTATCCTTTCCTGTTTTTATTGTCCCTTTCTATTTCTCCTGGAAAGTCCTTCTCATGCCTTGTTCCCGACTCTTTCTCAGGACCTCTTAATTAGTGATGAGTCAAGGGGCTTCCACATTCAAAGTCCCAGCTGGCGGTGTCCTGCCCCTCCCTGAGCATTGTCCTCTGAGTGTGCCAGCTCTTTGCAGTGTCAAACCACAAGAGCAGTTATGTGTGTCAAGAGAGTGTTCTGATGCTGCAGATTTTTTCTTCCTGTTCTTCAAGTACTTGGCAGGGGATCTGCAGTCTCTCTCTCTCTCTCTCTCCCCCTCCCTGGCCCCGTCTCTTTTGGTACTGGGGATTGAACCCAGTCATGCTTAGCCATTGAGCCGAATCCCCAACCCTGTTTATTTTGGCAGATTCTCACTAAGTTGCTTAGGGCCTCTGTAAATTGTGGAGGCTAGCCTGGAACTTGTGATCCTCCTGTGTCAGCCTCCAGAGCCACTGGGATTATAGGCATACATCATGGCAGCCGGCACAATCTCCTTTTAAAAAAGAAGAGCTAGTTAGGACATTTTTCAGTTTGGGTGCCATGAGCCTGTCTCCATGCAGCACAATTGTTGCCATCATGGAGCAGCTGCAGATGAAGCCTGCGTGGCGTAGAAGTGCTGCGATGAACCAGACTTAGGAACATTCCAGATTGAACTTGGTATTGAAATGACATGGAGTTCAACTCTTCTCTCGAGCTCTTTCCCCACTGGCTTTGAAAATGTACCCAGCACTCTGAGGTCCTGGGCTGTGAGAGGAACTCACGGTGGGTGGGCTGGGCTCAGACTGTGGTTCACTGCCACCTGCTGCAGGTGTCTCCTGTAGGGAAGCCACTGAGAGAAACCACGCGGCACTGCATCCCCCACTGGGGACCCTCGGGGCTATGTGCAGGACTCCCACTGTCTCCTCTGCTGCATCTCTCACTATTGTACCTGGGCCCACAAAGTTGGCTTTTTTTTTTTTTAAATAGAAGTTATCATGAAACATGGAGTT